CCCTGTTCCCGCGTCACGGAGTTTGATTGATAGAAGAGGGAGCAAATAGCTCCCGCTGCTGTGGATCAGCCCTGTCCAGAGGCACAGAGAGGAGAGATGCTGCTCTCGTGCACGGTGATGGATCGCAATGGGGCTCGGGTAAGTATGGGGGGGATCCCACACACAAAAGGTTTTTTGCTTTAATTCATAGAGTGCATTGAGGTCAAAAACCTTAAGGCTTTGGAACCACTTTGATGCATTCCCTGAATTAAGGTAGAAAAATGTTTTAGCATTTGCTGAGCCTCCCCCTCCAAACACTTACCTGGCTCCATCGATTCAGCATTGTGCCCATCTGCTGATCTTCTCTCCTCTCCTTTCTCTCAGGCTTTGCCAATGGCTCCTGCTGCTGTCAGTCAAGTCTTGTGAGAGGAGAGCAGGCAGGGGGCTGGGCCAAACAATGTAGTATGTATCGGTGGATGCACCCAGCCTGGCTCGGGAGCGAGCCCACATGAGGGCCCCATAGTAAGCGGCTTGTGGGGGCACTCAGAGAGGGGGAGGAGCAGAGAGTGTCAGCGTGGGACAGCAGAGGAGGATGTTTGGGGCCGATCTGTGCAGTGCCATTGCACGGAGCAGGTAAGTATGGCTTGTTTTGTGATTTTAGTAAACAAATCTGCCTTTACAAACGCTTTAAAGAGCCTGAGACTGCTTCTGGGTGCCGTCACTTTAGATGTGATGTCAGCAGCCCTAGCAGACTTGGAGCTGTCATTCAAGTGGCACTCTATGGCATTTCCTGTCACACCACCTCCATTAAAGTTTATGTCAAGAAAAAAAAAAAAACCCTATGTATCTCTATATTTCATATCTGAACAGACATATTTTTTTACAGCAGCAGCTGCTAGAGCTGCTCAATGTGCACAGCAACTCCTGGCTTTGATTAATCTCAGGTGAAAATTACTGGGGAGTGGGAGGAGGAAAGTGACAGCAAAGCAGAAGGATTAGACATGCTACAGCTGCACACATCCTGTGTACTATGATCAGGGGCGGACTGACAACTCATGGGGCCCCCTAGCAATAGGGGATCATGGGGCCCCTGTGTCCTTGCTCAAACTCAAAAAAGCCTATGAAAGAGGTACCAGGGGCATCTCATGGGGCCCTCTACTGACCCCGGGTCCTCGGGCAGTGCCCGAGTTTCCAAATGGTCAGTCCGCCCCTGACTGTGATTAACTTTTTTTGGATGTGTGTTGCATGTCTAGTGTCCTAAACTCATTAACCATAAAAGCTTAAAGTAATCTCAACAACTGACTAAAAAAAGAAAAAAAATCTCCTTTGACATTGTGAGAATAATTGAAAAAATGGACCCCTAATGGTTTAGCCACATCAAACCTGTGACGTAAGCTTTTCAAACTATAGAACATTCGGCTTACATTGTTCAACTTCGGGTTGACCTTTTTAGTTTTAAATAAAAGTATCCATTTCTAAAAAAACAAAATATATAAATTATGATTTTTTTTGAGAATGAAGGACTCACTGATGTGAAACGTATAGCATGTGAGAACTGTCTTGCTTGTTGCTAAATTATCTTGTAAAGTCTTTAATTGTACAGGATCTTCTGGTATGCCTTATTTTACTGAACACAGAGAGATTAGTTTAATTGTAGTATATGCGGAAATCCTTAATAAAGTGGCTCATTCTCCTTTACTCTCCCTAGAGAGACATTGTTAAAGTATTTATAACTGTTGTCAACATCCTGAGGACTAGGTAATACAATGATTTCAGCTCTGTACCATTGGTCATCATCTTCATCATACTTGATGACATTTTTGATACAATTGCTTATTGTTCTTCACTCTCACTAGAGAAACACTGCTAAAGTCTACGGTACATAATTAATGTCAACATTTTGAGGGGTGGGTCAACTCTACACCATTATTCTTATTACACTTAGTGACACTTGCTTGACCAATTAGTAGTCATTCTCATCATACTTAACAACACTTGCTTGACCACTTACTGGTTATGAAATTTTTCAGTCATCTGTTTCTCAGCTGTTAACAACATCTGGGATTTTATTCAATGAGCACAATAATGTGGAAATCAGATGGATCATTACACTATACCTATGTATGACTGTGTTATTATAACAATACAAAGTCATTTTATGTTACATCAGAAATGGTCTGGTGTTGAATAAACACTGTAATTATATCATGTTAAAAAAATTGAGGTCAGGTTGCTCAGATGGGCCACAAGACAAGTAGCCCCTTGTCTGCAAGTTCTGCTAATGCACATTTCCCTCCTCCTCAAGAATGAAGAGCAGTGGGACACTACCTTGCAGGTGAGAGTAGAAAGGTAATGCTCCTAATGGGTTTAACAGGACATTTCTAAAGTGAAGAGATAAATTGATTAAGTCGTAATCAAGGAGGTAGAGGCCAACATTGTCTGAAACAAGATGGAGGCAGAAACCTGACCTTCAATAGTGATTTTGCACAGAGCAACCCCAAACCTTCTCTTCTGGTGCCCCCCACCAGAGATGTAGGTTCCTCCTCTTCTGCGTGCACCATCATAGCAAGCTATTTGCTATGGGGGCACATGTGCAGCCTTGCTCCTGGGCTGTGTGGGCATCCATAGAGCAGGTATTGAAAGGTTTTTTTTTTTTTACCTTAAAGCTGAGAATGTTTTAATGTAAAAAAAACTTTTGACTTTATAGCCACTTTAACATATAAAATCAATACTTTATATATATATATATATATATATATATATATATACTGTGTATATATTAAATAAATAAATATATATTTTATATATATATATATATATATATATATATATGTCCAGCTAAGAAAAACAAAACACTTTATTGGGCTGCAGTGTATCTGGAGTGTGAGTTTGTAGTGTTTTAAATGCTATGTTTTACTTTTTCTTTTTTGTAAGGGTACAGTTAGGTGTTCAGAAAAAAGGCATGTCTTGAACAGACTGGCAGCAACCAATTCGCCCCAAGCTAAAAACTATACTCTGAAAAATTGAAGTATAACAAATATACCTTATTAAAAAAAATAGCTAGGGTATTGAAAATTGAAGAACTGGCTATCATTCAGTTGTTGCAGACAGATATTAGTCCTCAAAAGGAGTATAAAAATCTGTGCACACAGGAAGAACACATAAGAAAATATACTAGAGCACTGCAATTCAAAGAACTATGTATTTTAATGCAAGCTTTCATGAAAATAGTAGCTGGTGAAACTAACATAAAGGGCCCTGTTTGGGCATTTTGTGTGGGTGTGATGTGACAATGTTCTGCCCATCTTCCACAATCTCCTGACTGCAAATCATCCTGTTACATGCTCTCTCAAAAGAAAATATAACCTTCTGTGCGTCAATACATACAGAGGCATATTTTACTGTTTTCACCTTTTAAAAAAATACCTGTTAAAAAAACAATTGCAGCCATCAGCAATTAGAAAAATGTGCCCTATGAAAAAAACACATGCACTCTCTTATCAATGTAGTGCATGCAGATAGTGACAGGATGTAAAAACTGTGAAAAAAAACAATATGAAAAGACAATTGCAGCAAGCAACATTTAAAGAATATATCCTGTGAAAAGTACACATGCACCTGTTAAAAATGTAGTGAAAAAACAATTGCAACCAGCAATAATTAGGAAATATGTTGCATGAAAAAAAAACAAGTGCAGCTTGTCATCGGTGTAGCACCTGTGGAGAGAGACAGGTTGCAAAGAAGCTATGTCAGCAGCATTAAGATGTAAAAACCCTTTCCTCCACTATCCCCAAATTCTCCAAGGCGCACAGCACCTTGTTACCTACAGCCTATTTAGTAAGATTTTACACTTACTTTAAAGCGTGACACCAATTTAATGGAGAAAAAAAATGTACACTGCAAGGATTTTAACAAACTTTGTTGCAGATTCCTACCTTTTTCTGCCCTGATGAAAAAGTTGTTTGCTCCACTATGTCCTTTGGACACTGATTTTGAATGGCAGTAACTGGTTCATTATAATCAGCTGGTGCACTTTTCATATTTTGATGAGAATATCTGCAGTGTCTAATCCTTTTAGAAATATTTAACCCTTTTGGACCATCTTACCAAAATCAAATTTCTATTGCAGAGGATGCCTAAAGCTTGACATGTATCCTAGTGCAGACACCTACAGGTTTCCATATTGCATTGCATTTTACAGATAATTACAGCAGGTAATATTATTATATTACAATATTGATTTTCTGTTTCAATATTTTACAATATTAATTTTGTAGCAATTGTATATGTACATTTTTTTTAGTATTTGCTGTATCCTTTCACAGAAGTGGTGTTACCCTTTAAGAGACCAGAGTCTACAAGCCCTACACTAATCTGTCCCTGTGAACTATATCAGCAACACTCTCTATGCTTTCTTTATCAGAGCTGAAGCACCTTGTCAATATGGTTGCTGGGAACCAGTCTTTTTATATTGGTGGGGGGTAGGCTGGCTTATCCAAAAGCCCCCTTTTTGACTTGTTTAACCACTAGCCTACAGTGCACTTATACCCCCTTCCTGCCCAGGCAAATTTCCAGCTTTCATCGCTGTCACACACATTGAATAACAATTGTGCGGTCATGCAACACTGTACCCATATGAATTGTTTATAATTTTTTGTGACAGATAGAGCTTTATTTTGGTGGTATTTAATCACCTCTGGGTTTTTTATTTTTTCTTAAACAAACCAAAAACCCCTGAAAATGTTGAAACAAAAAGTTTTTTCTTAGTTTTTGTTATAAAATATTGTAAATAAGTGATTTTTCTCCTTCCCTGATGTGCGCTAATGAGGCTGTAGTGATGGGCACTGATAGGCTGCACTGATGGGCACTGATGAGGAGGCACTGGTAGGTGGCACTGATGGGCATTGACAGGCATCACTGATGGGCACTGAAAGGCAGCACTCATATATGGCACTGATAGGCGGCACTGACTGGCACTGTTAGGTGGCACTGACTGGCACTGTTAGGCAGCACTGACGGGCACTGATAGGTGGCACTGATGCACACTGATAGGTGGGACTGACTGGAACTGATAGGCGGCACTGACTGGCACTGCTAAATGGCACTGATTGACAGCACTGATAGGTGGCACTGACTGGCATTGATAGGTGGCACTGACTGGCCCTGATGGGTGACACTGAAAGGCAGCTCAGATGGGCACTGATGAGCACTGAAATGTGGCACTGATGGGCACTGGCAGGTGGCACTGCTGGGGCTACACAGATCATCAGGGCACACTGATCATCAGTGCTCTGATGATCAGTGTGCATGTCCCCTCCGAGGAATGCCGATTACCGGCTCTCCTCTCCTCACGAGCTGTCAGCGTGACAGCTCGAGAGGAGAGAAGTGCCAATAACCGGCATTTCCCTGTTTACATGTGATCAGCTGTGATTGGACACAGCTGATCACATGACCGAGCCAACATCTTTGGCTCTTTCTGTGGATCGGTGATCCGCTGTGTCCGAGGGACACAGAGCACCACCGATCGCCGCGCTGCACGCTCCCGGAGCCGCGCATGCGCAGTTAGAATGGGAGGACGTCATATGACGTCCTCCCAGAATGAGAGAACAGCCTTGCATCCATCATTTTATTATATGGCGGGCGGGAAGCGGATAAGCTACCTGACTTAAGTTCAAAGGCCAAGAAGTGCATTATGGTTATCTGGTTACTATGGTGTCAAAATCCTTCATTACCTCCCATGGTCCACAAACAGACAGGGTTTGTCTCAAACCCTTGGTAGACCCAATCCTCATTTTTTGGAAACAAAAAATGGAAAATTGGAAAGTGGCCCTGTAAAGCTGGTCATAGATAATTATCGAACAGCCTATGGACATCCTAAGAGTGCGACTGATAGGATGTAAGCATAAGCATTCAGCGTATTTATGACTGTGTTGAATGTGTCCTCATGAATAATTCAGAATGAACATTAAACTTTATTTCCCCTTTTTAAAATGAATCTAGTAACAAATTATAACTGTAAGTTAGTCCCATGTGATTACAACCTATTTAGAATGAAAAAAGATTTCCCATAACGTTTCTCTATAATATTCAGCATGTCCTTATCATTTTTATCAGTTTTAAAGTGTAGATGACTTGAAGTTAAAAGCTGTTTAACATGCAGATTTTCACCCACAAGAGTAATTAAGAGTTTCCTTCATAAATATCAGTAAATGGCAGAGCAGCACAAACACCCACAGTATTGCAGACACAGAATCTTCAGCATGAGCAAGGAAGCAGGATTAGATGTATTGCTGTGCAGACTGATAGAGAAGAATGGAGTGACTCATAGAACAGGTGTCCAGTTGTACCGCTTATGAAAGCTGCAATTACATCTGAGACAGAAAATAAAATCTTAGGATTTCGAAGAAGATGTACATCTTATATAGATGCATTTACATAGAAAAAGGTGGATTGCTAAACGGTGACCGAAAACTAGTAATGCGTAAGGTCATAAAATCTGCTCCACCAATGATTCCTCAGATTGAAGCCTTCAAGTCATTTCCACTGTAATTTGAATTGTTATATATTTAGAGCAGGGTTGTCAAACTCAATTTCATCATGGGTCGCATCAGCATTATGGTTGTCTCCAAAAGGCTGGTTGTATGTGAAAGACTAGATGTCCAGAGCACCCTCCTTTAAGTATGTCACAGTGCCCTTACCTTGTGCTGATGCTCGGAAGAAGCTAGAGGTGGACCTGGGAAGCAGAAAGTGCAGGTTCTGGAGGAGGATCAGAGGAGTGCTGGAGTCAGCTGCTGGAGACTGGTGAGACCAGGGGAGTCAGAGACAAGGGGTGCTGCAGCTGCACAGAGAGTAAAGGATCTGTAGAAGGAATTCTGTCCTCTTTGCTTTGCTGAAAGAAGATGGAGACAAGGGGAGTGCCACAGCTGCAGGAGAGGTGCAAGGGCCACAAAATGTAATGGAGGGCCAGATTCAGCCTGATTGCCTTGTGTTTGACACATTTAGAGGGTTTGTTTTTTACTTTTTGTTTAAAATAAGAAATAAACAATACTTACAGAGCTTCTACAAAATATCATGCTTTTCACCTGAATATGTTTAATTGTGTTTCATGAAAGTGGGGGGGGGGGGGGGGGTGGAATTGGTTATGTGTTTTTTGCTAAAGTATTTGAGTGTAGTACAATTTATTTTTTAGTTTCTAATTATCAGCAAAAGCACAACTTTTATTATGCCTGTGTTTAGTTTGTGTTGAATTTTCTCCAGGCAGTACCCTAAAAAAAGCATTGAATATCTTATATGAAATTATAAAGTTCACTATTAAACTATGTTTTTTTTTAATTATATGAGAGTAATATTTTTGCACAGCAATGCCAAGGTTCCACTTTTAGTGTGATTGGTTGTGTATGATACATAACGAAAATAGAAATCCTTTTTTTCTCACAGAAAGTCTTGGCTATAGGATAGCTTCAGCCATTGGATCAGTTATAGGAATACTAAATAATAAGATCTTATTAACTGTACAAAATACAGAAATATAAAAAGATAAATATTCAACCTAAGAGTGAGCACCAATGCATTGTAGGTGTTACTGTAAAAGTTATTATTTATGCTTTTATTTAATGATGTATCTAATAGCTCAGTTATTAGTGTTCTGTGAGCTGTGGGTTTCACTAAAAATCATTTCAAGGTTTCCTTGAGCAATAAAGATTGGGAAGAGTTTATCTGGAATATAAAATGCAATACTCAACCTGTCTCTGGTGCTGTCCTCTGCAGTTAGACATTTTTGCCACTAGACGTTGTTCTTCCAGGCTGAGCATTGCAACATTCACCATGGGCATCAAAATCTTGCCAACTGGGTGTCATGTCATCAGTCCATTCTGGGAGCAGAGCCAATTCATTATGTGGGATTGCTATCTGCAACATTCAAGATCTGCTCAAAAAAGGACCATGGCATCATGCAACTAAACAGAAGTTCTTTGGTAAAAGATACTGTATGTATATTTTTTTCTGTAGGCGAGAAGGTGCTCCAACAAAGGGCAGGGGACCTTCAGAGGGTTTATTGTTAAAACTGGAGCTGAGCTTTAACATTACAAGAGAACCAATCCTAAAACTATTAACAGTATGCTAAACTGAATATTCTGTATCAGCTAAGAAGACCAGTAACCACAAGTTAAAGCTTACTGACAGAGATAGATGAATACCTAAAAGGATTTTTACTAAAGGCATAAAAAAACAAAAAAAACCCAGCTGAACTGAATCAGCATCTCTGTGAACCAGGCTTAAGATATATCATAAGCTTCACAAAGCTGGAATCATGACAATTGGAAAATTGCTTGTATTTAAAACCAGCATACTTAAAACAGAGCTGGATTTGCATCCCTATAACATGCAGACACACAACGTTTTTGGGCAAAGCCACACCCCATTGTTAGGACCAACTCTTTTACAATGAACATTTCTTGTTTTATTGGTCCTAACTTTGCTTCAAATGATTTGACGATATAAATGAGCTTATATGAGATGACTATATTTCTACTGATGAGAAAAACAGCCTGGCCAATAACTGGACAGGGAAAAGCCACATTTTTGCCTCTGCTACTAGGGCACATGCCTATTGTGCCTGAAGGTAAATCAAACCCTGTACATAACTTGGTCTTAGCATCAAAAAACCTGGGTCTCTAAGCAAAAGAAAAACAAGTATGGTGTGATGAGTTTGTTTAGCTCTTACATCCTCATAGGTTTATATGTTGAAAAAAGCAAAATGAAGAACAACAATTACCAGTAGGTGCACACATGATGATAGGAATACAACTGCCGAAAAGACGCTGTAGCTGAGAGGTAGACTTTCACAGCACACACCACATCAAGGCAGTGAGGATACATTTCTGTGGGATGTTCAGGGGAAGAAATATGTGCAACACCCTGCACAAAGACCTTAGCTTAGAAAAGAGAGACAAATGGTCTGAAACGCAATGGTCAAGGGTAATATTAGCTCCTAGATGGTACTCCAGGACACATGCTGGTCTGGGAGGACAGGATAAGATGTGTACTATGGAGTACTCACTAGGATGAAATTTTCTGGTCTCGCACCATACAAAATAGGATTTCCAGGTGAAATAGTAGATTTTGTAAGAAGTTACTTTCAAGAGGGTAGAAATGTTGACTCTGATAGGCTCTGTCCCTTAAGACCTTGCCTTCAACAGTTATACCATTAAAATCAATGATTGAAAAGCAGAAAGGTTGACTAGCCCTTAGGATAAGCAGGTCTAACTAGAATTGCCCACAGAAAGTAAGCTAGAAGTTTGAGTATGTTCAAGTACCATGTCCTCCTGAGCCAGTTTGGTGCAATGGAAATCACTGGAATCACTTTGCCTTGTTGAGTTGAGTTAAAACAGTCTGAAGTTGAACTGTGTGTATGTTAATACCTCAAATGAGGCTACTATCAGGTCCAAAACCCTGCATGCACAAATTGAGGGTCGGCCCTGACATGTGAGTTCATCTTGGTACAAGAAGATCCTCGACAGGCCCATATACAATGACAGCTCAGGTATCTGTATCAGTGACATGATTCCAGCCACAATTTTCAAAGGCTGAGGATCCAACAGAATCTCTGATGATTCTAAACTGTCCACTGGACATTGGTTAACAAGGTTAGGGAGGGCTGATTTTTAAAAGGAGATCATTCAGTTATCCTACAACATGTATCCCCTGTGAACGTAGCTGAGCTCTGACTGAGGCAAGCACCTTGGTGAAAAACAGGGGGCTGTGAAGAGGCTAAAGCAAAGGATGACAAACTGATAATGCTGAGTGCCAACAGTAAAATTCAGGTAGTGATGGTGAGAAGCAAAAATAGGATTGGACAAGTAAGCATTCCTGATGTCATCAGAAGCCAGAAAATTCTGCAGAAGGAGGGAGGCAATGACTGACCTGGATGATTCCATGCAAAACCTTTGAACATTCAGAAACAAATTGAGAATCTTCAGATCCAGAATGGTCTGAATGCCTCCATTTGTTTTGGGAACTGTGAACAGGTTCGAGTAGAAACCCTGAAAGCATTCCTTATTTTGGACTGGGTAAATGATCCTCTGAGAGAAGAGCTGCTTAACAGCAGCAAGAAGACCAACCTGTCTTATGAAAGAGGCAAATTTGGGAACATGAATCATGGAGCAGACAGAGTCTGAAACTTAGGTTTGTAGCTCCAAGAAATGACACTTTTAACTCATTTGTCAGATATTTCTTGGGACCAGAAGGCCAAAAAAGGTTGAAAGACATCCTCCCCACTCTGACAAGTGGGGGAGTCCAGGGGCGGACTGACCATTCGAGAACTCGGGCACTGCCCGAGGGCCCGGGGTCAGTAGGGGGCCCCATGAGATGCCCCTGGTACCTTTCATTGGCTTTTTCATAGTTTTTTTTTTTTGGGTGTGGGTGAGGACACAGGGGCCCCATGATCCCCTATTGTCCGGGGGCCCCATGAGTTGTCAGTCCGCCCCTGGGGGAG